TTTGCATTTCAGTTCATAACATCTCAGATTATGGGTTATTTTATACTTTATAAAAGTACTTTCACTAAACTTCTGAGACAGATGGAGCATATTCTTACTTTATGAATGAAAAAATACTTAAGACACCTGACATTTCTAATGGTAAGTTTCTAACATAAGTTACTTAGTTGGGACTAAAACTTAATAGTGTGCTTCACAGATACTATTACATGTCTTTTGCTTTACCATAGTACCCTACACTTGTAACTTACCATTTACCATGTTTTTATATCATTACCTGATTTTATCACCAAAAATCTGACGCATATAAACCCCCTGTCACTGAATCGATTCTGACTCATAGTGTTCCTGTAGGATAGAGTAGAACGACCTCGGAGGGTTTCCAAGTCTGACTCCTATATCCTTATACTGTGGAGCAGCTGGTGGTTTCAAACCACTGACCTTTTGGTTAGCAACTGAGCCCTGTTAACTACATCTCTACCAGAGCTCCTTTCTGAAGTATATAGCCTATGTATTATGATCTCATTTTACAGGTAAGGAGAATGAAGGTAAAAGAAAGTAAGTTAACTAGATGTAAAGTACCTAGAATTCATTTCTCAGTTCCTCCATCTATTTCCTATATCACCTTGGCATTTTCTGTTGTTCATTTTTCACTTTTCAGTCTCAATATCTACTTTACCAGTAATCTGAGATTAAAAGAAGTATTTATGTCAAAAAGGTCAACATTATAGTGACAGAACAGATCCAAATTTAAACAAATGCCTTCTTATGCTGTCTTCTTACCAGTGTTTTAGTTGGAAGAAAGTACATACTGAAAGACTGAGAAGTTTATACCATAATTCAAATAATACTGGAGAATTAATCTGATTAATTGTTGGATTATTTGGAGAGATCAGAAATGGAGGTTGGTGGTATCAGCTCTTAGGTGGCCAAATTAACATAATTTGTTAACTGACTTAAAACTCAATTAGGAACAATTGCAATACGATGAAGTTCTTGACATAAAGACAAAATATTCAATATTTGAATATTTCCACTTAAGAATCACAGGAATGAAGTGGTAGGCATTCCCAGTTCTACTAAATAGTGTTTAGAATGTTTGAATTATTTTATAACACTCTTAAGATAGGAACTATGTATTTTATTTTGTTATCTCCATAACTTGTGTTTGAGCTGTGGGTGAAAAAGGGGGAGAAAATAGCTTATATTGTGTAGAAGTCTTGTGTTTCTTTTGTCTTTTCTAAGCAGCTCCATATATTAACTTTCTTATGGCCTTTGTAACAAATTACTGCAAACTTGATAGCTTAAAAAAACAGAAATTTATTCTCTCATAGTTGTGGAGTCCAGAAGTCTAAAATCAGACTGGGCTAAAATTAAGGTGTTGACAAGGCCGCACTTCCTTCTCTCTGTATTAGAGAGCTTCTGTTCCTTGCCTCTTCTACCTTCTGGTGGCTGCCAGCAGTCCTAGGTTTGTGGCTGCATGACTTTGATCTCTGCCACCATGGTCACAGTGCCTTCTCTTCAGTCTCTGTCAGATCTCCCTCTTTTTCTCTCTTATGAGGATACATGTGATTCTATTTAAGGTGCAACTGGATAATCCAGGAGATCTCCTTATTTCAAAATCCCTAACTTAATCACAACTGCAAAATCCTTTTATGCTCTATAAAGTAATAGTTACAGGTTCCAGGAATGAGGCCAAGGATATCTTTTGGGACCGTTATTCAGCCTACCACAGATACTACTACTTATTCACTCTTTCTTCTTTTTCTCTGTTTCATCCCTTTTTTATCTTTCCTATTTTTATTCTTTTTCATCTTCCAGGAGCACAAAGTAGCAAGTAGATTGAGTGGGTATGATCTGAATATATGATCAGAAGTTGAGTGGATATAATCCAGGTCAGTAGGTGCCTTATTGGATTCACTATAGAACATGCTATTTATGTTCACAGTAACTTTTTGTTGAATTAACTAATGGTAAATGGTACCGTTGTTGATGTTCAGTACCCTTTATCAAAGCAGTTACACCAGCTCATTACTTATCAACTTTCTCATTATCCAACATTTCACATTTACAACAATAGTAAAAAGCTATTTGACTATTTTGTGCATTAGCTATGTATCTGACCATAACGAATGATGAGGTGTGAGGTGAGAGTAACAGTAGCTGTGATGTTTTAAGGTTGTTTGTCAACTTGACTGGGCCATGGTTCTCAGTGGTTTGGCCATTACGTAATAATATAATTTGGTAGTTGTGTAGTGATATAATCATCCTTCATTTGTGATCTGATGTGGTTATCCTGCATTTTAGCATAATGCTGATTTTCGCATTATAACCTGGTCTTTGGAACCTAACTGTGCTGGTAAATGAGGAGTGAGTATATTTGTTTTAAGTATTTGAGTTTAATATTAATATTGCGAAATTTTTTCAGATTGAAGATTTCTTGTTCAGGTTGTTAGGCGTTGATATTGAGAAAAGAGCTAAATAGCGTTGTTTCAAAATTAATTTTACTTTAAGTGAGACTCCCCCTACCCCCCTGTATTTGTATGTTATTTCAGTGATAGCTGTCAGACTTGAATTTAATGAAGGGAAACAGAAGGAAAGAATTCATGAGTTATGATCTATGAGTCCATTGTAAGAGACCTATATGGTTTGGGGCATATAACATAACCTTTTGGGCTTCAATTTCAGAATAATCTGTAATATATAATAATGGAGTTGAGTTATATGATTGTTAAAATCCCTTCTATCTCTGTTGTAGTATTTAGTGTAAAGGATTTAAGAACCAAACAATAACAAATATGATCTATTTTGCAGTTTTGAAAAAAAAAATCATACTGGTAAGATTATTTTGAAATAACTATCCATCCTTTTTTTTTTTTTTCTTGTTCTTTTCCCTGTAGATGGACCACACATCCCCGACCTACATGCTTGCTAACTTAACCCACTTACATTCTGAGCAACTTCTGCAGGGCTTGAATCTTCTTCGTCAGCATCATGAACTCTGTGACATCATTCTTCGAGTAGGTGACGTTAAAATTCATGCTCACAAAGTGGTACTTGCCAGCATCAGCCCATATTTCAAAGCTATGTTCACTGGAAACCTTTCTGAAAAAGAGAACAGTGAAGTTGAGTTTCAGTGCATTGATGAAACTGCTCTCCAGGCCATTGTGGAATATGCCTATACAGGGACTGTTTTTATTTCTCAGGACACAGTTGAATCTCTTCTTCCAGCAGCAAATCTACTCCAGATAAAACTTGTCCTGAAAGAATGTTGTGCTTTTCTTGAAAGCCAGCTTGATCCTGGTAATTGTATTGGAATTTCTCGTTTTGCAGAGACATATGGTTGTCATGACCTTTATTTGGCAGCCACTAAGTATATATGCCAGAATTTTGAAGCTGTTTGCCAGACTGAAGAGTTTTTTGAACTAACACATGCTGATTTGGATGAAATTGTTTCTAATGACTGTTTGAATGTAGCTACTGAAGAGACTGTTTTTTATGCACTCGAGTCTTGGATTAAATATGATGTACAAGAACGCCAGAAATACTTAGCACAGCTACTTAATAGCGTGCGATTACCATTGCTGAGTGTTAAGTTTCTTACCAGACTGTATGAAGCTAATCATCTTATTCGTGATGATCGTACTTGTAAACATCTTTTGAATGAAGCCCTAAAGTACCACTTTATGCCTGAACATAGACTCTCTCATCAGACAGTCTTGATGACACGACCTCGCTGTGCTCCTAAAGTACTTTGTGCAGTTGGAGGAAAATCTGGACTGTTTGCCTCTTTGGATAGGTAAATAGAAGGCCTTTTAAAAGAGTTGATGCTAATAGGTTTTATGCTTTTTCTTTTTCTTTTTTTTTTTCTTTAAGTGTTGAGACTGTACACGGCAAAGTATATATCAGTTCAACCATTTCTACACGTACAATTCAGTGACATTGATTACGTTATTCGAATTGTGAGATTTTAACTTTTTAAATTTGGTAATTTTCCATATTTTAAGAATAGTTTGATTTTCTTTATTTGCTGCTGCTTTATTTATTGCTCTTCTCTGTTTTCCCTCTACCTCAAACATTTATTTGGTCTTTTTAATCATATTGTCACCTATTCTCTCAAAAATTCTTAATTATTAGCTCTCTCCCTGCAACACACATACATGCACGCACACCCCTACACCTCTTTATCCATTTTCTTTACTCACTAGCTTTTCTTCCATTTTAAATCTTTTTTTTTCTTTTTTCCCTCCTCTTGCTTTATGGGAAACCATTTATATCTTGGGGTCAGACCAAGTTAGAAAAGATTTATTATTTCCCAGCTATATCAGAAAATGGGAGCTCTAGTGGTATAGTGCCTAAGGTATTTGACTGCTACCCAGAAGGCTGGCTGTTCAAAGCCATACACCGCTCCTTGGAAGGAATATTGGGCAGTCTACTTCCATAGTGATACTGCCTCAGAAACTCAAGGAGGGGTTGTTATGAGTCAGATCTGACTCAATGGCAGTGAGTTTTTATGTTTGTTTTGTTTTTTAATATCAGAAGATGTTAAAATGTTAGCGCTAGGAACCTGTGAAGTGGGTAGACTGGGCATAAGAATGGGTTTGAATGAAAATAGTTACTTAGAAGTACCACTAAAGAAATGAGAAAAAACAGGATAAAGATATAAATCATGGATTTCATGTGCAGTATTTTCTTTTCTGTAAATATATATATATATATATATATATATTTAAATGCATTTCATTGAAATTTAAGTACAATGAAATACAAAAAACTAAAGTGACATGGGTCAATGTATTTTTTTTTCCCAGTGTTCTCTCCCCTCCCCTCCCACCCGTGGCAACCAACAAAGAAAATTTCCCTCCATATATAAACCTTTCCTTGACCCTCTACAACAACGAACTAATACTGTATTTGTCCTTCTGTGATTGACTTATTTCACTTAGTATAATGTCATCCATGTTATGCGGCGTTTTGCAGACTCTATTTTTTAGTGCTGCATAGCATTCCATTATGTGTGTGTACCATAGTTTGGTCATCCACTCTTCCGCTGATGAGCACATAGGTTGTTTCCATCCTTCTGCTATTGTAAATAGTGCTGTGATGAACATGAGTGTGCATATATCTGTTCATGTCCTGGCTCTCACCTCTCCAGGATATATACCTAGTAATGGGATTGCTGGGTCAAATGGTATCTCCAATTCCAACTTTCTAAGGAATTGCCATATTCCTTTCCATGGTGGTTTTATCACTTCACAGTCCCACCAGCAGTGTATGAGAATCCAAATCTCTCCATATCCCTGCCAGTATTTGTTATTTTCTGTCTTGTTGAACCTTTCCATCAGTGCTGGGGTGAGATGGTATCTTGTTGTTTTGATTTACATCTCTCTGATGGCCAATGATTGTGAGCATCTCTTCATGTATTGGCTGGCCACCCGAATATCCTCCTTGCTGAAGTGTCTATTCATGTCTTCTGCCTATTTTTCAATTGGATTGTTAATTCCTTTGCTGTTGAGGCGTTGGAGTTTTCTGTAAATCTTAGAGATCTAAGTCCCTTGCCAGATATGTAATTATAGACAAATATGATTTGTTACTGTCATTTTTGTTATGTGCTTTTTCATGGTGTTGATGAGTTCTTTGTTCCATATAATTTTCTATGCTGAGCTTGTTTTGTTTATGAATCTTGTTATCACTTCCTTCATTGCTATTGTTTTAGTATTTGCTAAATATTTGCGCTGGTCCTCTTTTTTATTTTGATGTGAAGGTTTTCTTTGAGGTTACCCTGTTATTTATAGATTTCTTCCCAAGTTTAGAACGGTCCATTCTATCTTGTAGTTTGTCTTGACTTCCCTACCATCTAGAAGTTCTGTAACGACACAATTTTTTCCCTCTTTTTGGTTTGTAGTTGTCCTCATTTGTCAATTGATATCCCTGGTTCCCTGTTTACAATCTTGTAGGCTTATTTACTTTGGATACTTCCATAGCTGGGTTGGTTTCTGGGTTATATCATCATGTGTTTAATGGTTAGTTGTTGTTGGCTGTTGTTGGCTTCTCTGTCCGAAGGGCTCCCTTTCGCATCTCTTGTAAGGTTGGTCTGGTTTGAACAAATTGCTTTAATTTCTGCTTGTCTGGAAGTGTCCTAATTTCACCATCATATTTGAGGGACAATTTTGCTGGGTACGTAATTCTTGGTTGGAAATTTTTCTCTTTCAGGGTTTTATATATACCATCCCATTGTCTTCTCGCCTGCATGGTTTCTGTCAAGAAATCTGAGCTTAGTCTTATTGGTTGCCCCTTGTAGGGAACTTTGTTTTTCCTGTGCTGCTTTCAGGATTCTTTCTTTGTCTTTGGTTTTGGTGCGTTTGATGATGATATGTCTTGGTGATTTTCTTTTGGGGTTTGTTGGACTTCCTGAATGGATATTTTTTCATCTTTCATCATACCAGGAAAATTCTCTTCTAGCAAATCTTCAACAATTATCTGTGTGGTTTTATTTGTCTTTTCCTGTTCTGGAATTCCAATTACACATAGATTATTCCTTTTGATGGTATCTCACATGAACCTTAGGCTTTCTTCATTTTTTTAAAATCTTTTTTCTGATTTATCCCTTTCCAAAGAAGTGTTCAGGTATTTGCCTTCAATCTCACTAATTCTGTCTTCCATTGATTCAATTCTCCTCCTTTGCCCATTCAATGTCTTAATCTATCTGAAAATTTGGTATTAATCTTTTGGATTTCTGTATGTAATTTTTGTATCATTTCCAATTTTTCATTTATTTTGTCATTTTGTTCTTGTATTGTCTTTTGAAATTGTTCTAGGGTTTTCTCTGTGTTTTCCTTGATCTGCTTCTCAATTCGTTGAAGATACCTAAATATAATTATTTTGAGTTGTATCAGGGAGTTCCAGTGCTGCGTCTTCTTCAGGGATGTGTTTTGGGTCTGTATTCTGGTCCCTTGTTTCTCCTGCTTTATCTTACTTCTTTGTGTGGACTGTGATGCTCTGTTGTCTCCGAGGCATCGGGACATTTTTGTATTTGTATTTAATTGGTGATTGTATGTTGGAGTGACTTGCCCACCAATTTCCTTTTCCTTGTTTTGTTTATATGTTACCTACGCAAGCAGGGTACTATATTCCTCTACTCGCTAGTTGACAGCACTTATACACTCACTACCTGTTTCCTTTCCTGTTGTCAGCCTCTCGTATGTCCCTGTCAACCTTGGCAAACAGAGCCTATTCTTAGGTCCCTGGAATCTGAATGAGAATGCTCTTGCTTTAAAATCCAAAATGGTTACCACTTGTAAAGATTCAAAATGATTGCACCCTCAGTCACTTTAAACATCCAAACTGGCTGCCACTTGTAAACATGCAAAATGGCTGCTGCATGTAAACAATCAAAATGGCTGCATCTTCCAGGCAGCGGAAAGTCAACAGCTCAGGTTGTCTCCCTCCTTGCTGTTTCCCTTCCTACTCATAGGCCACCAGCGCAGTCATCCCTGCAGCTCTTGGTGACCAGGGCTGATCTTTAGGTCAATTCTCAGCTCCCAACACCACTTGGAAATATTTGGGTTGTTGGTCCCATCAGAGTAGCTGATAGTCCGCAGCTCTGACCATTTCTTTATTCACTGTTTTCATTCAGGTTTTTCCACTAATTGGTGCCTAATCCATTTCTGTATAGTTCCTTTCAAAGGTCAGGGCTCCAGGATTATCATCTGTATCTCTGTCAATTGGTTTTTCTTTTCTTTGTTGAAGAGAGACTATGTTGCTTATCTGCCTATTCCTCCATCTTACTTTAAGTGTCTGTAAATATTTTTTAAGGGCACTAGTAAACAGCTTTATTGTCTAATAACTTGAAGTACAGGTTGTTAAACTTTTTCTAAAGTGGCCAAACCAAAACCACTGCCATCAAGTCAATTCTAACTCACATTGACCCTATAGGACAGAGTAGAACTGCCGCATTGGGTTTCCAAGGCTGTAAATCTTTATGGAAGCAGACTGTTGCCTCTTTCTCCCATGGAGCAACTGTTGGGTTTGAACTGCCAGCCTTCTAGTTAGTAGCCAAATGCTTTAACCACTGGATTACCAGAGCTCCTTTTTTCTAAAAGGGCCAGATAGTAAATATTTTAGACTTTGTGGGCCATGTGGTTTCTGTTACAACTACTCAGTTCTGCCACTGTAGTAAAGAGAAGCCACAGAAAATACATAAATGAATGAGTGTGCCTGTATTCCAGTAAAACTTTACAAAAATAGGTGATAGGCTGAATTTGGCCCATGATCATAGTTTGCCAACCTCTGATTTAGAGGATTATGTAAGTAACTTTTATACATTGAAAATACAAGTTGATACTATCTTTGCTTTCCCCTTGCATCAGACTGCTTCAGTTCATTTGATATGGAATACTATAGGCTTCTTTCTGAACATTTCTAAAAAGTCAGTAGGTTGCCTTCCTCTCACTCCAGGTAGGAAACTATTGATGTCCTATGAGTGGCAACTTTTTAAAAGTTTTGCTATGCATTTTAATTGTAGTCTAAAACTACTTTTGTTGACATTGAGCCTAGATCCTATAGGTAACACATTAGTTACAGTGGCTTCCTGAAGTGGTTGTTGAACTCTTGTTCTTAAAGGCATTGCTTATTGGCATATTAGTCAAATGCCATGAAAAAAAAATTTCAGTTATGAGTGTACATTTTAAAATTCTTGAGCAGTTGCTTCTTGGTCTCTGAAGTACTGGCAGTCCCCAGGTTATGAACATCTAACTTATGTACAACCTGTAGTTACAAACCAACCCCTGTAAAGCCTAT